TGCCTTCTGAGTCCCGACCTAGTGGTATAATGCGTTGGGCGCAGGAGGATAAGGCGATGGTCAGGGCCATCTGGGGGGTCAGTGTATGCGTTGGTGTGCCTTCTAAGTCCCTCGCATCCTTGTCTCTTTCCTGAAAATCGACACTGCCTTTCTCCCTTTCCTTTTCCTTCTCCTTGGCACTGATGCCTCCTTTCCCCTTCGTCTTCTTGTCTTTGGCTTTCATATTCTTGGCCTTCTGCTCCTTCTCTGCTTTCTCCTTCTCCTTTCTCTCTTTCTCAGCCCGATCAAGAGTTCTCTTCATCTCTAAACATTCCCTCGTCAATTCTTTCGCGTCTTTTGCGCCTTCCTCTAATGCATCCCTGACCGCCTTTCCTTGAGATGCATGGTCTACGAGGACACTGACAACAGGTATGAGTTGGGAGGTGCGGACTACTTCAGGCCAGTCCGTTCCCTTGCACATCTCTTTAGCATGAGACGAAGTGCGAGCGGAACGGGTTCTAATGATGGGCGCGTTCTGAAGGAGGTGCTCAGGGGCGGGCATGGGAGACGGGAGAGCGAGGGAAGGAAGTGTGCTCAAGGTGCTTAGAGTATTGACAATCTTGAAGAGGAACGCCTGTTGATGGAGCGCATTGGCAGTTGTGGAGAGGATCTGTTAGGGAAACCAGAATAGTGAGTGGAAATGAGGGGACGGAGAAGACTGCAACACACCTTAGCGTCTACTTCTATCATGCCTAACAATGCAATGAGTAGTGCTTTCACGCATCCCTCTGAGACCCAAGGTTCTAGATCACCATCCTCTTCGTCGTCGTCGTCAAAATCTCGTTGAGAGCGGGAGAGAATCTCGAGCTCGTCGTGGTGTGAACGTGACAGGGGGAGGAAACGAAGTGCAAATTCACGGATGTAGATGCGGGCTTCTGCTCCCTGTAGGGAGAGATGAGTACGGACTGGTGTCCAAAGAGCTTTGGGAGGGGGTTTCGGGGCTGGAAGAGGTGCAGCAATGGGTATATGCGCGGAGTTCTTGGTGGATCTGGATTTGGAGTTACTGATTGCACTTGCAGTACGCTGGAGTGCGGATTTGGCTGTTCTCGACTTCTTCTCAGCGACAGGTTTACCTGCCATCGGGCCCTGTACACTCGTCAACATTAGGAGGTTGGGACTGATATAGACACATACAGCTGCAGTTGGATCTTGCATAAGAAGTTCTGCGGCTGACTGGAGCCCTGATTTACGCGCTGCGACGGTGAGGTTCCTATACGGAGATAAAATTAGTGAGGTCGTGGCGTAACGCGTGGTACGCACCCCGTGGGCTGAAGGCCCTTTGCCTTTCTGCAGTGAACGCAGTTACAGGTCTCCTCGCATCGGGGGCACCTGAACGAGCCCAAGCAAAGACGGAAAACCACGCATATAGTTAGTGCTAAGTGCAAATACGAACATTAGAGTCACTACACACTTGAAAAAGTACCCCCCGCCCGATACATGCCGTTTTTTCTCAGCTGCCGGGACAGTGCTGGTGGACAAGATGTCCTGAAGCGTAAGTCCATAGCGGTTCTTGAGACAGGGGCCGCAGTACTTGGTGTTGCACCGTCGCTTAGATTTCGCGTCTTCACGCGTGCATTGGATGGTAAGAACTGCATCGCGCTTCTTGCTACATTGATGACAATAAACAAAGCCGTTTGGGAAGTCGGAGGTAGCGTTCGAGAGGAGACGACGCGTAGCGGTTGGCTTGATAGCTGTAGTTTCGATCTTCAATTTCTTTACCGGCTTGTCGAGAGTTTCGTCCGATTTGCGTTTGGATGACTTGTTCATGATGGTGTTTTGAGAGATGGATGCACGCAACGCGTTTTCTTTGCGGCCGGATACAGTATGCGTGGTATTGCTAGTAGCTGGTATACTAGGCTTATGCAACGCAGAAGAAGGAATTTCGACAAAGACTTGAGATAGACGCCTTACGATCCCTTTTGGCTGGCCTGCCATTGATGATGATGATCGTGGTTCTATCGGAAAAGACGCGTACAATAAACAATTGTCTTTATTGCATTGGTCACGTGATTCCACTGGCACGGGTTTCTTTTGACAGAATGTGGAAACCAGTTAACACAATGCGATTTGACCAATTAAAGTACGGTGTCACTCTCGAGCTCTGCATAATGACCAGTGACATGACCGTAGGATATTATATCTACATCCCAAGTGATCTACTGGGGTCTGGTATCGTTGATTAGGCGCCGATATTAGGGTAAAGCAGCAGACATCGTCTAGTAGGATCCGCGTCATTATTTGCTCTCGACATTGATAGAAATTTGGATACTGGTATGGTAGTAGATGTAATTCCCCCGGATATAGTGTCTTCCCGCACAAAGATGAGATTGACACTTTGAGACTGGGACAAAGCTTATCGGTCATATACCGAAACTAGTCACTGAATGAAGGGTTGACTGGCGCGGGCCACAAGATGAGAAAACCAAGCAACGGACTGATAGTTCGTATCACTATATATTCTACTCTTGTGAACTAACGGGGTTGAGAATCTTCATGCGAGGAAGCATGCGGTTCCTATGTCTTATTAGTAAGTGAACCGCTCACTGGCACAGTTTTGACTGTGCTCTTGACTCTCTGAATTGAGCGAATATCAGAGTTCAATCCAGTGTGGTGAAGCTCCACTTGACACTCGTGCGACTCATCAAGTCTGCACTGGTTCATAGCACCATGCCCGTCCACGAGTATTGTCCAATGTTGGATCCCGTCGCATGCGGTAAACCAGCGCATCCGATGATGTTGCCAAGTCACCATCACTGGATAAGCTGGCTTACTGCATCGTACATGTCCGAGAGCAACATCGATAGGGGGCCATTGACAGGCGATATGAACAGAGGCAAGGGAAGGGCAGGCAAAATATGAGGGCAACACATATAGAAGGGGGAGGAGAAAAGAGATGCGAGGGTGACTCTTTAGACCAGCGCCCCTTATAAGGCAGCTCATAGGCCCTGTGCTTCTCTAGCATAGAAGCGAAGGGAGGAATCTCCAAATGCACGTTGACAAAAGGCCAGAAGCGTCAACGATGCACGTTTACCTATAGTGTATCATTCTGAAGTGAACCAAGGCTTAAAGCATGAGCCGCTGACAAGACATATATTCCACTACAGTGAGTCAGCTTTACAGTTAATCGAATAAAAAACGTATTCAATTCTTTCGATCTTTTTTTAAAGCGTTTTGCGGTGTTGCATCGTCATTTTACACCTCCAACCAGTCCAAGAAGTCCGGCGTGAAGTAAGACAAGATCAGGGTAGCACCTGGACGAAATTATGTCACCACCGAAAAGCCAATACTGATGTTCTAACCTGCCGGACCATACTCTCCGTGGTCTCGAATGCCATGGTTTCTGAGATCGTAGACGCCCCGCAGCAGCAACAGCATAACCATCGCGAATTCCCGCTGACTTGATAGCAAGCGAGGGGATGGTCCGGTGCGAGTTGTGCAGCATCCGATATGATGTCGAGATATGGAAGCGCAGGTTTCACCATGATGATATCTGCGCCTTCTACCATGTCTCGTTGCTAAAAAAAAACACACGATCAGTAGCACGTTGGGTAAGAGACGGAGGGCAGGACTTACTATTGCACGCCGTGCGAGTCCCTTGGCAGTAGGTGGGAGTTGGTAGCATTTGCGGTCGCCAAATGATGGCGCGCTTCCAGCGGCATCGCGGAAGGGGCCGTACAGTGCGCTTGCGAACTTGGCTGAGTAACTCATAAGGGTGCATTTACTGGCTAAGTCAGCGTCAATGAGTGCCTGCTTGATGGCCTTGACACGCCCATCCATCATATCGCTGGGAGCTACGCAATGGGCGCCGGCCTTGGCGTAGCTGATAGACACTTCTGCGAGACGTAGGACAGATGGCTTGGTGTTGATGGTGCCATCAGCGTGGAGCAGACCGCAGTGCCCGTGTGAGGTGTACTCGCACAGACAGACATCGCAGGCGATGTACAATGATGGAAATAGGAGTCTGATCTTTTTGATAGCTTGGATGACGGGTCCAGATGGATCGTCTGCTGGGGTGCCACGGCCATCCTACAAGATCTATAAGGCCACCGGGCGCAGTTTCACTGGATGGAAGCTCACCTTTTCACAATTCAAAGGCACACCGAAGAGGATGACGCTTTTCAGTCCTTTCTTCACCAATGGGCCGAGGAAGGATTCGAGCTGGTTGACACCCCAGCGGCGTTGACCAGGCAGTGAAGATATAACGACGCTGGCATCTGGATCATCGGTGATGAAGATGGGATACATGAACATGGACTTTGTGAGCTGCCTGCGACCCTGCCATGAGCGCGACAGGGGGTGCTGGTATCCACCCTGGAGGATTGAACTGAGTGGAATCAGCGTCTTAGATGTGAGATTATTGAGAATGAACATACTCACGAGATATCCATGTCGTTGTGGTCGACGTCAAACGTTAGCAATTGGACTGCGGCTGAACTAGCGCGTTCGTCGTCTACGTCTACGTCGTGGTACGATATCACAATCAATTAATTCGCAGCCTCTGAAATTCACAGCTGGCATAGGTCACCGGTCGCATGGGAACTTTTATTCCAACAATTTCAGCCCCATATGTGATGATCTATACGTGTTTATTCTCTAGAATGCACTGGCTGATGAACCTTCCTATATATGCTTCACGAATCACGGGGACTCGAATGTGTTTGCGCATACGATTTCCTTCCTTTGACGCCGTTTTCTTCCATCGCTTGCCATTACTTTTAGTCGAGGGTCACAGTTTGATTCTCGACAGAGAGCGATAACAACCAGCAACAACAATCCTGAGCATGAACTTGAAAGAATAGATCGTGGAAAGGACTCAACGTCAACTGGTAGTCGGTGGCTGTGACGAATGTCGTGGGAATGAAATTTATCCTGACGAGCTGTCACGCCGTCCCCTCAGCTAGCTCGCTACTTCCATAATCCATTTGCTCCCTTCCCCCTCCGCTCCCTTTTGACCCTTCACTATGTCTCATGCTGACCACACAAGAGATCCATGGTGCGTAATAAATCAATTATTTGGCCAGTCCAGGTGATGATTTTGTCAAGTCCATGGGTCATATTGAATGACTTTGGAGGCGCATTTGCTATGGGCGCTGTCGGTGGCGGTATATGGCACGGTATCAAGGGCGCACGAAACTCCCCTAGGGTTAGTTCTCCGTCTTACTCTCATATCTCGTTCTCTTCCTAGTCCAACCGGAACAAACGTCACTGACGTGGACACTCACAGGGTGAACGTTTGGTCGGTGCCATATCTACAATCAAAGCACGTGCCCCAGTCACAGGTGGCAACTTCGGCGTTTGGGGAGGCATGTTTTCCACTTTTGATTGTGCCGTGAAAGGTTGGCGGCAAAAAGAGGATGCTTGGAACGCTATTATTTCGGGTTTCATGACGGGTGGATGTTTGGCCGCACGAAGTGAGTTTCC